ATTGACCCAATAACTTTGGTCAAGTAATTTTGTACATATATGTTTTATTCTGAGAATTTTAAGTACATTTTAAGATGTAATTGTTGAGATTAGGCCCAACATCCAACATGGGCTATGTACAATAGGCTCAATCGTTTATTTTTAATTTTAAAAAGAAGACGCATCCATGCGTTAGTTCAGACATACCTAGTGGGTGCTTATACGTAAGCTAATAAAAGGTTTACATATGTATCCTTTTGTCATGACTTGGAGGCTATAAATATCATCCACCTACCTCCATTCAAGGTAATAATTCCCTTATGCTTCTCTTTTTGAAGTTTTTCTTGAGAGCTTCTTTATTTAAAATATTTAGTATTGCTAATTTGAGTGTTAAAGTATTTTTTTCAAAGAAACATCCTCTGATTTTTCAAGTATTAAAACAGTTGAAGATCTTTACAATGTAAGTTCGTTAAGCTGCACAAATAGTAATGAAGGCTTAATTGACTTCTCTGAGTATGGAGAATGAGAAAATTACAGGAGCAAAGTAGAAGACAAGAACATGGATATGGTAGTATCTAAGAGTACTGGATCACCCCTTTTTTTTGTTGTTTTTTAGTTCGACGTAAGGTTAAAGCCAAAGCATGCATGATACGCAGGTACTTTTAGGATTTTTTGAATCCAATTCACCATAGAAGAATCCGATTCATCAACGAAGTAGTTAAGAGGAGGGAATTAATTAATTATTACAGCATACCCTCGTTAATAATTACTTAAAAAATGATTGATATATTTTTTAATTTAATATACTTAATAATATTTATCAATTTAATCATTATATATATTTTTGTAAATTTAAATTTAAAAATATTAATTTTTTAATAATTAAATAATTAAATATTATTAAATATATTAAATCAGATGATATACTAATAATTATCTTAATTACTCCTGTGTACAGTTTAAAGTCTTAACGTACCAAATACTCATCTCTTTTTGACGTAAGGTGAGGTCCTCTTTCACTTTGATTTTTGTTATATTTCAGTCAATCATTCAAATTTTCTC